TTACGAAAGTACCGGTGCCTTTTAGAACATTGTATTTCCCACTTTTTTCTGCTATAGTGAGCTTTTGTTCAATTAACACTTGTTAGTTCCTTTTCCTTGTCAGGGCTTTGGTTAAGTGGGAAAATAATAAAATATAATAAGCACAAGGTAGAGGTCAGAACTTTTTGCCACTTAGCTCTAATACATCTTTTGTTTTTAAAGTGTATTTTAACTGTACATATTGTTTATGTAGGACTGTTGTGTATTTGTATATATAGGCACATGCTTGTTTCTAAGTATATGATCTCTTTGATCCATCTTTAATGGGATATGCTTTTACCTCTGGCCCCATGTTGATAAAAGGTTTAAAATGAGCTATAAGCATTTTTTTCAATGGATAGTTATTATCACAAGTGGCATTTATTTATTTTGTAAGATGAATGATTATTACTGCAAAATATGAGATCATTTTATAACAGACTAATTTAAATCTTTGTGAGAGATTTATATATAGTGTAAATCTTCTATTTTTACTATTTGTCTTTAATTAGATACTGTGTTGAACAATTTTGCTTTCTTAATCTACTAATCTTTAATGGTTGCCAAAAAACAACCAACCAAACAAAAATCTTATAGTTAACTTACTTAACTGATCTTTAAATTTTGTGTTTTCATTAGTATTTAGAGGTGGCTGGCTTTTCAGTTAGGGTAGAACAGGTTAAGGGGAAGAAGAGGGAAAAGTCTTTCCAAAATGTTTAAGAGGAACATCACATGGGAGGGGAAATCTTCAAAAGTTTTGTTTTAGGCAACAAGATGAACATTGGTACCATTATTGTAGACATTTGATACATTGAAATGTTGATAAAACAGCACGTTTTGAGGAAGAGAAAGACAAATAATGACTTCATTAAGCACATCCTTTAGTTGGAGAAGGCTTTGTATGATCTTCCTTCTGTAGACAAAAACAAAACAAAAAAATTGACTCTGGACTTTGGAATGTAACTAAAGATAAATATTTGATGTGGTTTTGGCCATCTAGGGAGAAGCTGGAGGGAGGAAGAAAAGAGTAGAAAATGGGTAAAAAGAATATTGAAGCAACATTTAGTAGAATATCTCCCAAAAGCCTAAGAAGGTATTATGAGGTAAGAGAAAAATTAGTGGAATGATTTCATTTCAAGGAGTCATTTCAAGAATGGTGAAGTAATCTGCAGAATTAGACATCAAAAGTAAGTAAAGAAAATTTACACACCTTTATGGAGAAGACTCCAATGCCTGAGCCAGCTGTCAAGGTTCATCTTATATTTTGTATAATTGGGAGGGAAATAAAGAAAAGTAATTCTCAAAATTAATTCAACTACCATGTAAATGAGAAGAAGCTTGCTGTTAACCACAGTGCTTTAGTTTCCTCCGTTTGCTAAACAATTTTATTATGTGGACAAAAATAAATAAATAAATAAAACGGATATAACTTTTAAAACTGGTTCTTACTCTTAAAAAGATAATTCTGGTTCAACATACACATGTTCCTAAAACAAGGAAAAAGTATATAAATTGAATAAATACATGTATAATCTTAAAACACTGCTAGGTAAATCATGGCTCTTAATATTTTTTGACTAAACATTCAGGGTGAGGTTTTATTGGGTGAGGTTTCCAGAGTAATTGGAAATACCATAGCAGAGCAATTCCAGTGGGAAAGTGCTCATGTTGGAGATGAATCTTCAAGAGTGTGACTTGCCCTCACTAAGCAACAAGATCAAGTGTTATTCAAGGGTGATATCTAACAAGCACAAACTTTAGCTTTATGTTTATATGCAAAATAGGTGATTATGATAGGAACCCGATAAGTGTAAAGATTGGATTACTTTAGTCCACTTTAGAAAATGCTTGGAAGAAGGAGTTCGCCATTTTTATATGGGTAAATATGGTTTCCCTTGTTGCTATGCATCTCTGTTTCTCTTTGCGTCTTTCATGAAATAAGTCTAATTTTCTTTAATTTAGCCTATGTGTGGCCATGTTCTTTTTAACTAACACAAAAAATATATACCGCGTCCTGTACATGTTTTCAGTTATATGCAATGGAATCTATTGCTGTTGCATAATGTTTCACTTTCAGAAATTTTTATGGAATATTTTGCTCTAGTTAGAGAAACTATTCTTATATTATGCTCTAAGTTGAAATCTTATGGGTTACTACCTGTGAAATTAGGTCTGTACCTTTTTGAAAATCTGTCCTTAGCATTAGATATGCTATATTGTAATTAAAATTCCTTATCAAGTCAGGAGTTTTACCAGTTGCCGCTATGAGGGGTTGAAGAGAAGGCAGGGTCTTTCCCAAAAGCAGTTATAACAAAGACACATCAGAAATTGTGGAGCACATATTTTACCATAAGATCTAGTTAGTTAATTTAAAATCATTTATTATGTGAATTCAAAGATGGACTAAAACACTTCAGTCTGTAACTCCAGCTGCACAGAGGAGCCTTGCTGCAAGGTTTCCAGTCACCTTCCTGTAAGTGCCTTGCATTCCCAACTGTCTGGCTACAAGTCCAGATGGACATGAGCCTGACTGAAGCAAGTTTGGAAATTTTAGTTGAACCAAAAGAACTTATGATTTTTGTAGGTAAAAAATGGCCAAATATCAGCAATTTCATGTGAATCATCCTAATGGAGTTGGCCTTTTAACCCTGCCCCACTGCCTTTCATTCAGTCCACTCAGGCTGCCCTCAGACCACCTTAGATCCCTGGTTTCCTCCTCCCACCTTCCTTGGCAGGATCCCCATGATGGAGAGCGATGGGTGCCTGGGAGAGAAGTCCATAAAGGAAGAGAGAGGAAATGTCAGAGAGGTAGAAGAATAGTGCCAGGGCCTGGAACACATTACCCCAACATGTGGCCCCTTGGCCTACTGAGTATTTTATGGAAGGAAATGGAGAAAACGGCAGCAGTAGGAAGGTCACTCTCTGACCCTTTCTCCCCTGAAGCATGGTCAGAAAGGAATTCTTGACTTGCCTTGCCTGAAAGTAGGTCAGGAGACCCTCATTCCAGAGAAGTCCTGACTTGGTCCCCATACCGCCCTCTCCCATGCTGGCCTCATCAAAGCCTCTGCTTAAGGAGGGCTCCAAGTCCATCTTTAGCTGCTCATGGTGAATTGATTCCTCACCCTCTAAGGGCATTTTCCTGTGAAGCTTTGTTCTCTATGACATAAGAGGAGAGGGATGTTTAGAGGACCTGTTTAAATCCCCAGGGGATTTCCTTGTCCCCACAGATGCATCTCTTTGTGAAGCAAAACACACAAAGCACCCAGCACAGTGCCCAGCACACAGTCAGTGCTCACAAAGCATTGATTCCCTCTGCCTGCTGCAGTTGGGACAAACAACACACAGGGTGCCAAGATTCAGCTTGGTGAAGACAAGTGTAGCCCGCATTCCTGTTCCTGGGCCTTGTCCTCTTTGTTGCAGCTCAAAGTTAAAGGCAGCTCAGGCACTGGCATTGCTTGTGCTGAGGATAAGCCAGCACGTCCTGTGCCCAGTAGTCCCCAGAAATGCTGTTGCCTGCCTGCTGACACTCTGCATCTCCAGTTCATCCCCCCAGGCCTCTCCAAAGCCCATTCCACCTCCCTCCCCTCCTAATCCACTTGGAGTTCCCACCTTTCATCTTTCTTTCCCCTCTGGAGAAATCTGCAAGCCTCCCTGAGAGAACTTCCCCTACCCTGTCTGAGATGTTGAAAGCCAGGGGCACTGATCCAGCACTCAGTACAGAAAGGATGGACTGGGATTTTTCACTGATGCCCTCAGACCCCTCAGGATAGAGTGGGCAGGGCATGCAGGGTCTATAGGCAGTAAGATAGAGGGAGGCAGTGAGCTGAGCACAGACGGGAAAAGAAGAGCATGTGGCTCAGAGCTAAAGAAGACATGGCCCCATGACCAGAAGACTCTGTCCCAGCAGGAAAGGCACATCTCAGTGTGGAAGGGTCTGGAGCTCAGGAGGGATTCAGACTCAGCAAGGACTGAGGCTCACTAACCTCTGCTCAGGAGAACAAAACCCTCTATGTGAGGTTTCCTCTCTGTGTCTTTACTCCAGGAAGCAGGTGTCAAAATCAAAGGCACCATGAAAATAGGATGCCAGGGATATCTGACATGTGTCAAACAAATTCCCAAAGGCCTAGCTATCACAGCTGGGGGCGGGTGGGGGACAGTCTTCTCACGGGCCAACCCTGTTCTTTATGGCACAATCCAGGACCCTTCAGCCAAAGCTGGCTCTATCCACCTTAGAGCAACGTCTCATCTGTGTTTTATTTGTAACTCACAACAGGCTTCTGAGTTAGGCAGGGCCTATATCATTCCAATTTCATAGAAAGGGAAACTGAGGAATGGAGTGGGCTAAGTGACTTGGGCCAGAGGGTAAGTGACTTGGGGTCAGGACTCAGATCTCCTTAAATCCAGCACCACATGTTCTCCCACATGGAACCCTCTCCCTAATCTAAACACTTCCATGGCTCCATGGCTTCATAGGCCATCACAGGATAATGAGGCCACAGAAACTGCATGCATGTTCACATGTGTATACATGTGTGTGTGTATGTGTGCATGTTTATGCACACATATACATGTGTGTGTACATGAGTAATGCATGCATGTGTGCTGAGCAAAGCGTGGGGGTGTCGGGTTAGCAGTGCCTAATGATTTTCTCCATCTTGAACATCATAGGTTCTTTCCTGGGAGAGCCATGCAACCATGGTGTGTCAGCAGGAGGGTCTCAGGACAAGACCTATGAAGTGAAGATGACCAAAGACACAGAGGCCTGCATTGAGCCCAGCCTCCTCTCCACAGAGATGTGAGCTCTGCTGTCCTCTTCCCAGGCTGGCCTCATGTGAGGATGGCTTTGGGGAGGCAGGGATAGGTTCCTGAGATCCCACCTCTGGCTGATTTGCAGGAAGAGAGGAGATCGCAGAGGAAAATCTGTACAACCTCTGATGAAAGCCTTTCTCTCTCTCACACACACACATATACACAATGCCCTTTTAGCTCAGCCTTTATTTATCAGAACATTTCTAAACATTGCTTCTTAAATCTTTTAGGTTGTAACCGACATAAATCATCTATTTCCTGGCGAGACTCAGTACACACACACAGATGTTGACAATTAAACAATGTTTATGACAATTAAACAATGTTATGAGACACGACTTATAATAAAGCTGCCCAGGAGAGGGCACTGGTGGCAAATCTAGGCCTGAGTTTTTGTCTTTGCTGGAATTTTTGGAGTATTTTAGCTGCAGACTTAGATTCCTTAGAAAGTTGTGAAATCCACTTGGTCAGTTATAATGAGCTCTTAAAAGAATAGCATAGCATAGCATAGCATAGCATAGCATAGCATAGCATAGCATAGCACAGCACAGCATAGCATAGCAATCACAATAGAAACTATCGGAGTGCATCATATTTCACAAAGGTAAGTAGTATGTTGTGCAGCACTTGCTTAATTGCCTATATCTGTATATATCTAGGGGATCTCTTGTGAAAAATCTTTATGACTTTATAGCAGTTTGAGACACACTGTTTCAGAAGTTTTTCTGAAAGGACTTTAGAGTGAGGAAGGACTAGCCTTCTAGGCTTTTGAAGACAGGAGAGGTGTGGCTGGAGGTGATGGGAGGGGGCACCAGGCCTTTAACCCCAAGGAGTAGTGGGGAGCAGCAGCCAGGCCAACACAGCATGTGGCTTCCAGGGGTCCTGGTGCTTTCTTCTCAGGAACTGGGTGGGAGGATTAGCAGAGATGCCTCCTTTTCCTCTGGCCTAGAAAGAAGAATCTAGTGAGTAAGGAAAAACTTGGAAATAGTCCCAACCAGTGATGCTTGACAGATTATTCAACTGTCCTGTGCCTCTGTGTCCCTGACAGAAAACGGGGCGATGGGAGTGGCAGAACTACTTTTTTGACTCAATGAAACATAGCCATTATAAAACCAAGAGAAATATTTGATGTTCCTTATGAGATGATATTCTCTAAATTGATTTTTAGGGAATACAAATTGATACATCACCATCTACCTTAGAAATAAGAAAGCCTATATTTTAGCATATTTTAGTCCCTCTAGAGTTCTTGGTACACTCAAGCACTCTACTATGTCATGAAGAAGCTAGTCTCTATCCTCAAAGACATTCTACAAACTAGGAAGCTAAGAGGGTCTCAGAAGAGGAAGATAATATGGACAGTTTCTCACTAATCACCCCAGAGTGGTACAACCCTGAAAGGTACAGGCTTCAGAGAAGTTTGAGAGCAGGATGACCTTAATGGGTACCATGCACAAGATCAAACAAACAGAAGTGTGCTGTAAGAGTGGGGGTGATATGCAAAAGAAAAAAATATGATAGGGAGGCTTACCTTGCTGAGAATGAGAATAAGGTTTGCAGGCATAAGCATGTGTGGTTTTTGCTCAACCAGAGTTCTTGCACAGCTAAAAGTACTTCAAGTCTCTGTCCTGTGCTGGGCAAAGGTGTGAGGTCACCCTCACGCTTCTGAGGTGTGGGGTGGCCCTATGGACCAGTGAGTCTGTGGTCTTGTCTGGAAAATGGGGTTGGAATGCAACAGTGCTTCTTGGACTGCAGGCTGACCCAGTAGGGATTGTGAATTGATTTTTAAATAAAATACACAGATTAAAGTAGAGTAGGACTCACCAGGGTGCAATAAATGCCCCTAAGGTGGGTAGAGGACATGAGGTTTCATTCCATGGGGTGTGTCGGTGCATGATGGGAATGTGTCAAATCTATGTCTCACTGAGTCTTTTTAACCCCTTCAGCTCACTTCGAAGTGAGCACCCCACTTTGGGTGGTGCTCAGAAGAAAGGTGCTCACTTGGGTCAGAGCAGAGAGAGCTTCCCAAAATGAGCCACTCTTGTCTGTGACTACCAATGCACAGAGCCACGCTTTCTCTTCCTCTGCTTCCAGCTCCCTTGCCTTCTCATATCACTCCTGCTTTTCAGCTTTATCCCCCACTTTCTGAATTCCCCTCTACCCAGTACGCTTTCTTGGCTACAGCCCTTTTAGCACTCTTCGCATGCCTCCAAGCTTCTGATTTTTTCATATCCCACTCTCCATTCAAAAACTTTTACTACTCAAACTCTCTTCCAAATTTTTCTAACTTAAAAAAAATTTTCAATGGTTCTATTTTCTTCAGTTTGATTTTCACTCCAACCTCCTCCCAGTCTAGCCCCTTTAAATGCTGCCAGGTTTCAATATCCCCAATGGATTAAATGTCCAATTTCTTTCCTCCTTTGCCCCTACCGATGATCTGGTTACTCCTTTTTGCTTCAACATTCCCCCGAATCTTCTCAAACACTGATATTTTCCCCTCTTTCCCCACAAATCTCCCTGTCAGGCTTCTGCCCCCAAACACCTTCTCACCCCTTCACACCACATCACCCAGGTTCTTTAGATTCCTACGCAGCCGATTTCTCTGTCCCCTCACATCTGCTTGCTTCCCTTGCTCCCACCATGGCAGTGCCCATCTGCTCCTCCCGGCTCACTCAGGTCTGCTGCTTGGGACGTCTTTGGCGACGGCGAGGGAGATTCTTGCTGAAGAGGGGCTCCGGGGGCAGCATGGCAATCCGGGGGAACCTTTCTTCTCATTGTTGGCCTTGACCCCAAGTGTGCCCAGGTGCTGATGGAGCGCCTGGGGTGTGTGAGCCCTGCCGCCAGGGCCCGGCTGGGGTTGCGCCAGGAGCTGTCCGTCGTTCTGAAACGATGCCGGCTGAGGCGCCGGCTGTGAATGGGCGAATGAGCGCTGTCCGTAGTGCTGAAGAGGTTCCTGGCCCTGGCAGTGGCGGCTGCGGTACCTAGGAGGCCGGCAGCCAGAAGACCACCAGGAATGCTTCTTGGAGGAAGTAACCCTTGAGGTGGGGAGGGTTTTCCAGGAAGGGAGAGGATAGCATGAGCAAAACCTTAGAGATATTAATAATCGTGGACTGATAATCATGGCCTTGTGCGCGTGCCTTGTCACGCCAATCCGTTAAGATTCCGAGCCCTTTGTGCTCGCCTCTCCCTCCAGTACCTAGTGCGCGCGCCGCTCCCTACCCCGCCCCCAATCCCACGGTTGCCAGTAGCTGCCTTGTGCCCGTACCTTGCCCGCCAATCCGTTAAGGTCCCAGGTCCTTAGTGCGCACGCCTCTCCCTACGGTACACGGCGTGTGCGCCGCCCCTTCCGTTGCCATCAGGTGCCTGGTGCACGAACCTTGCCGGCCAAACCGTTAACTCCTGGCGTCCTTTGTGCGCGCGCCTCTCCTTCCAGTACCTATCAGGGGCCCCTTCTACCCTGCGCCCTCCCCCGCAGCCATTGCTCACAGGACGCTCAAAGTCCAGCTCTCCAGAGTTCAACGATCCAAAAATACCCCACAGCTCCCAGGAGTGGTTACCTGGGCACTCTGTGCCCTTTATCCCTGTCCCGGTCCCTTTCCAGGGCCAAGGACCCCAACAGTAGGACTCAGTTTCCTTGAGCCTCCTGCCGGCATCCCTCACTTCATTTTGCTTGTGGGATCTCTCCATTGCTCCTGCCCCTGGACGGAGTGGCAAGCCTTTCTACAAGTACCCAGACACTTAAAATCAGCCTGGTGTTGAAACAACTCCAAGGATTTATCCTTCAAGCCCTGTGTTCTGTCCGGTGATGCTACCTTCAATTTAAGGCACAGGTACCGCAGCAAGCCAGTGCCCTAAGGACTCTCAGAGAGGCCCTGGAGGAGGTAATCGCCTTTTTGTGGCCCAGAACACCCAGCTCTACCCTACACTCCCAACCAGAGATCATGTAGAGGGCCCTCATGGAGAGTGGGGCAGGGATGCCTGAGCAGGGCAAGGACCCCAAAGTCCAAGAGAGGCCCGATGATCAGAAAGGGGGCCCTGAGGGCACCAGTGATGCACGGTCTGCATGTACACCACTGCGGGACAGTGGAGGCCTCTCTCCCTTCGTACCCAGGCCCAGGCCCAGGCCCCTGCAGGGAGACCTCCATACCCAGAGGTCAAAAATCCTATCTGACCAGGCATCCCAGCCCTCCAGGATCTCCAAGCGCAATGCCATCCACAGCTCTACGGAAGGCTTCCCGTGGCTAAAGAGTTGGAAGGGGCCAGCCTCATCCCACTGCCAGCTGCCCCTCACTTCTTCAAAGACAGTGACTGAGGTCAGCCCTCAGGCTGTCTCTCAGGGTCAGGCCCAGTGTGAAAAGGCAGCAGATTCAGCACCTGGGGAGAAACCGGCCCCCAGGAGTGGCTCCCCGACATCTCAGGCCTCTAGGCCTCATAGACGAAAGTTCCGTCTGCTGCCACGCAGGTGAGGGGAGCCTCTGAGGCTGCCATCTCCCTTACACCTGGGGTTCCGGGTCACTGCTGAAGACCTGGACCTAAAGAAAAAGGCCGAAATCATGTGCCTTAATAGTGCACTGCAGGGTGAGGAAAAGTCCCTCTGGGAGTGCAGAGCCTCACTGCTGTCCTCACCGGCAACAGGGACGTTTTCTCTGCCTGCTGTCCCTAAAGCATCCAGCACAGAGGCACAGCAGGAGAGACGCAAGTTTCAAAATGGTCTGGACCCCGTGGCCCTCCAAGCATCTGCTGCAGGATCCCCCTCTAGGCCTCCTGTGTCTGGGAGGAAGTGCAGGTCAGCAGGCCCCCTGTTCTCCTCCTCAGACACCCTTCCTGCCACCTCTGCACATTCCCAGGACTCAGCCCAGGCCTCATCGTCTGCTCCAACACAGCCAGACCAGGGCACCACAGCACACTCAGCTGCAGGGGTTTCCTTACCCACCACTTCCACCTGGAGCCTGGCTGGGACCCTTTCTAGGCCATCTTCTGCCTCTCACACCACCACCCTGGCCAGACAGAGGGTCAGTGATTTCGCCTTACTACAGAAATTTGACACTATCGCTGCAGCCATCACCCAGCCCAAACCGGTGGTCCTTCATGGACAGCGGCAGGGAACCCGCAGCTTGAAGCAGACCCATCCATCTTCCCATCCAGCTGCTTCAGCCACAGCCCAGGCCTCATCTTCTGCTCCAACACAGCCAGCCCAGGGCACCACAGCACACTCAGCTGCAGGGGTTTCCTTAACAACCACTTCCACCTGGAGCCTGGCTGGGACCCTTTCTAAGCCATCTTCTGCCTCTCTCATCACCACCCTGGCCAGACTGACGATCAGTGGTCCCACCTCACTACCGAAACTTGCCGTGACCGCTGCAGCCACCACTCAGCCCAAACCTGTGGTCCTTCATGGACAGCAGCAGGGAACCCACACCTTGAGGCAGGTTTATCCATATTCCTGTCCAGCTGCTTCAACTGCAGCCCAAGCCTCATCTTCTGCTCAAAGACAGCCAGCCCACGGCACCACAGCACACTCAGCCGCAGGGGTTTCCTTACCCACCACTTCCACCTCGAGCCAGGCTAGGACCCTTTCTAACCCATCTTCTTCCTCTCGCCGTGATGCACATGCTGCCTCGTCAGACTGTACACCTGCCAAAGTTAGGCGGCTCCGCTAAACAAGATCCAGAAGAGTGTTCTCTAGGTTTCCTTCTAATATTTTTCTAGTTTCGTATCTTGCGTTCAAGTCTCGGATCTATCTGGAGGTCATATTTGTATACGGTGAGATAAAAAGTGTCCACTTTCATTCTTCTGCATGTGGTTATCCAGCCTTCCCAGTACCATTCACTGAAGACGGTGTCCTTTCCGCAGTGTGTGTTTCTGTCAGCTGTGTCGAAGATCAATTGGCTGTGAATATGTGGCTGTCTTTCTGGGCTCTGTCATGTGTGTCATTGATCTATGTGTCTATTTTCCTCCTAGCACCATGCTGTTTTAGTTACCACACACTTGTCAAAAACTTTGTCTTTCTAATTTGTAGTGAAATGGGATGCCTCTAGTTTTTTTCTATTTGCTGTGGAAGGCTTTGACTCTTTGAGCTCTTTTTTGGTTCCATATGAATTGTATGATTTTCCAATTCTGGAGTGATGACACTGGTATTTTGGCAGGGGTTATATTCAATCTCTAGGCTGCTTTGGGCAGTACAGTCATTTTAATGCTACGAGTTTCTTCCATCCATTAGCATGGGATGATTGTCCATTTCTTTCTGTCTTATTAAAATTTTTCATCAGTGTTTTGCAGTTTTTCTTGTAGAAATCTTCAAACTCCTTGTCAAATTCATTCTGTGGCATATCTTTTTTCATTTTCTTGCTACTGTAAATGGGATTGCCTTCTTAATTTCCTTCCCAATAGACCATTATTGGTGTATGGAAATGCTGCTGATTTTGGTACATTCATTCTGTATCCTGCAATAACTGTATTTATTTATTGATCAACTCTAGGGGTTTTCTGGTGGAACCTTTACATGTTTCTAAATCCAAGATCATATCTTCATCAGATAAGGATAATTTGAGGTCCTCTTTTACAATGTGGCTGCCTTTTATTCTTTCCTCTTGCCTGATTGTGTGATGTTGAACAGCAGTGGTGAGAATGGGCATCCTTGTGTTGTTCCTGTTTACAGAGGAATTGCTTTCAACGTTTCCTCATTATGTAGTAGGTTAGGCATGGCTTTGTCATAAACAGCTTTCATTATTTTCAGGTATGTTGGTTGTTTTTTTCTTTTTTAGATGAAGTCTTGTTTTTTTCACCCAGGCTGCAGTGCAATGGCGGGATCTCAGCTCACTGCAACCTCTGTCTCCCAGGTTCCAGCAATTCTCCTGCCTCGCAGTCCTGAGGAGCTGGGATTAGAGGTGCCCACCACTATGCCCGGCTAATTTTTGTACTTTTAGTAGAGATGGGGTTTCACCATGTTGGTCAGGCTGCTCTTGAATTCCTGACATCAGGTGATCCACTCACCTCAGCCTCTCAAATTTGTGGGATTACAGGCGTGAGCCACGTGCCCGGCCATTTTCAGGTATGTTTCTTTTATGCCTAGCGTGTTT